CCTTCCTCAGGCCTGAAATTATTTAGCTTGACTTCCGCTTACGTTCCTAAAGAAACAACCCGCATGGATCCCTCCCCAACAAGCCACTTACCTAAATGTCCCGGAAAATTAGCCAACCCACCCTAACCACACCCTTAAATAGTGGGATGTGACGCGATCACATTATGACTTGCATAATGTCACGTAGTTCCTCCCTATTTTTTTTATTTGGGGTGCCCCCACCCCAAATAAACAGGGGGGAGGAACTACGTGACATTATGCAAGTCATAATGTGATCGCGTCACATCCCACTATTTAAGGGTGTGGTTGGGGTGGGTTGGCTAATTTTCCGGGACATTTAGGTAAGTGGCTTGTTGGGGAGGGATCCATGCGGGTTGTTTCTTTAGGAACGTAAGCGGAAGTCAAGCTAAATAATTTCAGGCCTGAGGAAGGTGCTACGCACCGAAATATTGCAAGATAAGATATTTTGAAAAACTTTTGAGACTTTTGCTGTCTTTTGAGTTTTTTGGAATAAACTTTTGGAGTTTCACATTGTTTTTACACATTCAGATGAGTAATGAGACTCCGGGACAGCACTATACTCCAGTGATTGTTTTGGTGGAGATGTTTTTGATGTTGATGTTTTTGAAAAACTGCTTAACCGCAACGGTTACAATTTGGGAGTGCCTTGGTAGTCCAAGTGGCACTTGTAATGTGAACCGACAAATGGGACTCCACCATTTAGGAAGAGAGTGAATGGTTGAAAGGATAGGAGGAGCTCGTAGCGGGACCTGACACTCCTTACGGTCATTGTTCTTGGCCAAATTAAATGCGGAAATCAAAAAGATCAGAAAGGCTTACAGAAATATGAGAAACAGTGCTAGTTGAGTGCAGTTTGTTCAGAAGGAACAATAGCACTTTCGCGGTAATGTAAAACGAATTTCTCAAAACACGAAACAAAACTATAAAAAAACGACGAAATTCATGGCAACGAATACTGCATGCAGAAGAATATACGTACGTCTTACATAGCATTTGTCTCGGCGATAACTAGGACTGACGGGGAAACGGGCCCGAATCGTCACGCAATGAAAAGATTCAGTCGTTGCTAGGACGCTTGCAGAAAGGTGCACTTTTTTTGTTCCACGCTCTTCTCCTTGGGAGTTTTACAGATGGAGGAAAAAGCAAATACGAGTGCTATATTTGATAACGTTGCAGTCAGACGGGGTCGTATCAGGAGGAGCGGGATGAGCCCGCCTAGCTCTACCCACAGTGATCAGTCAGTTATCGATGAAG